GGAAATTATTTTGATTAAAGAACATTGCTTTAAAGTAACTAGTTTCTTTTTTTTTGTTTAATACCAAAATCCTGCATTATTTTCCGGACAACCCAATATATATATATATATGTGTGTGTGTGTGTGTGTGTGTGTGTGTGTGTGTGTGTGTGTGTGTGTGTGTGTAAATAAACGTTATAATATAGTTTTTATAAATAAGGACTTTTAACGGTGGGTTCATATGGACTCCAGATCCCTTATATTTTTTATTTTTTCACCAATTGTTTGTAAATTATGTGTGTTTTTATTGGAGTACGTGGTAGTACTGTTAATAATAAGAAATGTTGTTTATCTATTGTAGTGCTGTGCGGAAGGTGAAATAAATATAGGCCGAAAGTTTGGGAAACTTACAAAAGTTTTATTCATTGGACCGCAGCTTTGATTCACTTCTACAATTACTGTATATGAAACGTATATTTTTTTTGTAAATAGACGTTTAAAAAATATCAACGAAGAATAGATTTAGATTATACAAAATACCGTGTTTTAGAGTAATTATCTTTTAATCGCAGTCGGTGTGGACACTTTGTAAGTCTGGGCTTTGGTTTTTCTTTAAAAATGAAAAAGACTGTTGAAAAAGTGGCTTTGGCATATTTTATGATAGATACAGGAATGTGAAATGTATTAGTATTTGATATTTTATGCTGAGGTTTCTATAAAGGAATCTATAAAGAAAGTCAGTTTCATGCTCATAGGTGATCTATAGCAGGATTATACCGCGACATGCAAGCAACTGGAAAGAGGCGGGAATTTAAAAAAAAATTTCCCCAGTTTTTTCCCAAGATAAATGTAAGAAATATTGTAATGGAAGTGTCCCTGCCAATTGTGTTTTGAAAAACGACGCCTCTTTGCCCACAACCCTCTACAAGTGGCTATCAATGTTGAATTGTCATTTGTCAGCGGGGGTGTTTTTATAATAATAATAATAACGCTTAGGGAGGCGCAGCTGTGCGCTCACTTTAAATCCACTTTCGGCCTTCTCCTTGCTTTCGGGAGTCGGAGAAAAAATCCACCCCCGCACAAAATGACAGGGTTAGAAGTGTCATCACGCCCCTGCTCTTATCTCCTAAGTCATTGCCTCATTTTTAAAATTGTGCCTTTCGGCTCCACTTCACCCTCCTGTTAGATTACCCACGACAAACGACTCCCAGAACACCACTTTCTTCTCTAGATTATTTAATACGAAAGATACCATCTTAAGGTTTTATAAAATCCTCCCTTAATTCGTATGCTGTTCCAGTTGTTTGAGGCCGCTTAACTGAAGAGAGAGAGAGAGAGAGAGAGAGAGATTGTGTGTGTGTATGTGCTCTACGAGGTATAGTTTTTCAAATACATAAATTTCTGAACAACCATTATAACCCAGAAAATCGCGTAAAAAACCTATTTGATAGCAAAAACACTCAAAGATTTTCATGGTTTACATTTATATGTATCATGAAAGAAATTATTATTTCACTAGTAAACATGTTTATACTGAGAAGAACCGTGATATCTGTGAAAGATCGCTGTGATAAATTGACCAAACTTGTTTTATGCTTTTAATTTATGGACAAATTCCTAGATAGATTCAATAAGATATTTTTGTCATTTAAAATGTAAAATTGGTGATTTATTTTAAAATTACAAATCAATCTACACCATGACAAACAAAAATTATTTTAGCATTGTTAAAATAAAATAAAAATTTTCTTCCTGTGAAACAAGAATGTATTAAATTTGGAATATCGCTTTACTTTTAAATAAAATAGTTTCACTTAAGTTTAAATGTTCTATGGATTCCTTCCACTTTGCTATTAATTATTATTGTCATAGATAAAACAATTTATTAACAAATGAACTATCAAGGAATTAGGTAAGTATTGTCATTATTATTCTGAAAATCTATCTGTTTCTTTATTTTTACTGTTATCAGTGTAAAACAAGTTTTATTGTTTTAAATGATTATTTTGAATATTCAATAAGTTTCTCATGGCAAAAAATTAAATAAACAAACAAATAAAATCACCACCAGGTTTCAGAAAAACATTTTCTTTATCGTGCCAAGCCCTGAAGATGATCTCAAAAAGGTCGAAACGTTAGCATGATAAAGAAAATGTTTTTCTGAAACCTACATCACACCAGACCGCATCTCACGATTTCTGAAAAATATTCCTAATGTTTTTCGTAGCTTTTATGTGCTTTTTCTTACTGTATAAAATCAGTATTTTCTGTAAATATTTTTTTAATTAATTCATCTTCTTTCAATTAATTAATCTTTTTATGTAAGGTTTTGGTTGAAATGAAAAAGTTAGCGTCACAAGCTCGGCAAGCCTGATCAATCAATTAATTAATCTTTTTATCTAAGATCTTGATTGAGTTGAGAAAGTTAACTTCACGAGAGGATTCGAACTCACCACCTTCGGCTCAATACGCCGCTGCTCTCATCTCTTGAGCTTGCACGTAAGAAGTCACGATAGCTCAAGTGATTAGAGCAGGGGTGCTCAAACGGTCGATCGCGATCGACCAGTCGATCGCGAGTGCTTTTTGAGTAGATCTCGAGAAGAAAAAAATTTTTAATAAGTAGGTAGGTAATTAAACTACAAAAATGTATTACGTAATAAAATAACACTGCTTGCGGCAAAAGGTGGCTTTATCAAAGGAACGCGCGGCACTTGTCAAAGAAAAGCCGCGTTGTTTCTAGACTAGTAGACAGTACAGTCTAGTCTAGAAACAACGAGAGACAGTACAGTCTAGTTTCGGGCGGCGCGTTTGACGGGAACATTCGAGACTTTCGTTCACGCCGATATAAATGTTGTGCCTGCAGGAATTGGAGTCATTCTGAATTGTAACTTGATGGCGATATTACGTCGATACAAAGTTTATTATTAAATAGTGGAAAATGAGTGCAGTGAAATCTAAAACGTATCATTTTAATAAGGATTGGGAGGAAGAATTTTTCTTTTGTATGGTGAAGGATAAGTGCATTTGTGTTATTTGTAGTGCGTCAGTTGCAATACCTAAGCGTGGTAACTTAGAGAGGCATCATAAAACGGTTCATAAAAACTATGAAAAGGATTTTCCGCCACAGAGTGAATTAAGAAAACGAAAAGTAAGTGATTTGATATCTTGTTGGAAAAAAGAACAACCCATGTTCACAAGACCAGCCAAACAATCAAAAGCTGCTACGATCGCGACATTTAAAATATCTCATATATTGGCGAAACACAAGAAACCATTCCAAGATGGATCGGTGGTGAAGGAAGCATTTATTGAAGCGGGTGAGACTTTATTTGGAGATTTTAAAAATAAAACAGAAATCATGTGTGCTATTAGAGAACTTCAGTTATCTCGTCCGACTGTCACAAGGCGTATTGAAGTCATGAGTCAGGACGACTGACGAACTGACGATCATATGTCATCATGCTTGCGATTAGCACTCAGTGGTTACGTACCATCTTATGAAAAGTATGCTGAGGACATGCAGTGCCACGCTTCAACATCCAAAGCCACTCCTTAGTTAAGTTTAACACCATATGTAACTCTTTTGTTTTGTAACAACCAATAAACTCGCAATTTTGAATAACTATGAGTTTTTTCATTGATATTGTAGAGAACAACCTAACTAAACCTAACCCAAACCTTGACTAAAATAATGTACCTATATTGTGCAGAAAGCTAATATCTATATATGCTACGGTACACCCTACCTAGGTAGGTAGGGTGTATCGTGTATGTACGACAACCCTGCATCACACACACTTGCAGCCTCTCAGAGTCGATCGTAAGTAGTCTAAAAATATTGAGGTAGATCGCCAGCAGTTCAAGTTTGAGCACCCCTGGATTAGAGCAACGGCGAATTGAGCGGAAGGTGTTGAGTTCAAAACCAGCTCATGACACTAACGTTTTCATTTCAGCCAAAACCTTACATAAAAAGGTTAATTAATTGAAATAAGTAATTTGGTCTGTTAGACCTCTAAATATAATGGATTATCATTATATATATTATTATTATATAATGTTTTTAAATGACTATTTCAAGCGATACACTTATGCTTTGTATATTTAAAAGATTAGCTAAATACTCCAAGTGAAATGACTATAAAAAATGAACAGATTTACGTTGAATTCTTAGATACATATAACTAGATCTACTAGTACTAACCCTATTAATAAGCGGCTAATGTATGCGACACGGTGGCACTCAATGAACGGATTAAAACTAACTCAGATTTGTTTTAAGCCTATTATAATTGACGTTTAAATGTTCTTTGTTTTGTATTTCGCTAATAACGTCAAATAAATGGAGAATCATGATAGTGTACAAAATGCAATAAAAATTAAAGAGCCTTTACGATTAATGAAGCCCTTCATTGAAAAACCACGAATTTTAGGTTAAAAAACTGATTTGCCGGTGAATCATTAAACGTATCTTCCTTCTGTTATACAATTGCTAGGTTGCATATGAAATGAAAATTATGGGTTTGACAATTAGGAAATGTATAAAATAATCGATAAACGTGATGTTTGGTGGTACTGTCATGATAAAAGGCTTTTGTTGCGTGACGGTTTAAGCAGAAGACAGCATAAACATATGGGCCAGATAAGGATCGTTGATCAATAGGAAACATTTTGATTAATTGCGATCGGTGAATTCTGTAGTAGGACAGGACTGGACGAGAACACATTTTACCTCCGATCATTTCCGATTAGGAGATAAGCATGTGTACGGGGGAGGCGCGCTAATTGAAAATAGCACGCCAGAAGTCAGTAGAAGAGTTTTTATCCCATAAATAATTGGTCGGTTCCCGGAGACAAATGGTAGAATTAACCGAATTAAACCCTCGGAGGGAAAGAAGGGAAAGAGCGGAGGTAGGGGATCAGCCGAGGATTACCGGACGATTCGGTCATTTGTGCACTTCAGCCAGATCCCCTGCAACCCTTTCTCATCCAATAAAATAAGTTAATTGTTTTAAATTGTTTACCTTTCCAAGTGCTTGACGATGTCCTCGTAGGCGGCCCTGCAGTTCTCCCAAATACCGGACCTGCACGGAAAATTTTTAATTATTTTATTGCTGTATCTTTCCTGAAAACAAATTTTTGCATGTTTTAGGTTCGAAAACCTTTTCTTATCACGAATGCGTTCACTTATGATACAAATATCACCAAATAACCGAAAGTGCAAAGACGGTCATCAACGTCGAAAATCATAGAATATCTGAACCTTAAATATACCAACCAAAAATTTAAATAAATTGAGTTAATTTAGCACTGGTAGAACGTTCTTTAAATAGTTCCTATGGTTTAAATGATTTCATCGCGGATTTATCAAAATTTCAAAATGCTTCGCTTTAAATGTGCATTAAGTTCCGGTATTACGGTTTACATGTTGAAATTCATCATAAAAATGGTACCAACATGAATAATAAAATATCACGTTTTTTAATATTCGCCTGAAGGAAAAATGGTTATCTTGATATATGTAGAAACATTTTCAACTTGAAGTCTAAATAGTATTTCCGCAGTGTATTGATCAGGGCTTCGGTTTATTCCTTTTTTTTCATAGAATAAAATATTTGGAAATGATCTTATGAAAACCTTTTAATCAGAATCTGGATTAAGTTAATAAGTAGGCTGGAAAAGGACTTTGACAATCTTTGCCCTTCTGTTTATTTTATCTTCGCTCTTTCCAATCACGTCAAAGGGAGCGGCGCGGGGTGAATTGAAGAAAATTAATGGAATATCAACCCCTCTCCTCCAACAGGAATGACGTATTTAATATTAATGTTTTCACGGAAGGGGCGGAACGGTAATTTATAATAAACAATTTTAATCCTCCTTTAATTGGGTAAGGCTGTTTGCAGAGGAAGAAACCGGGAGGAGAGGAATTTAGATTTATGTAGACGCACTCCCATTTTCCAGGTGTTTTTCTGTTCATAACATATCACACGAAATAATAATAATAATAATAATTTTATTCGCGAAAATTACGATAATAGGGTAAGATAAAACATAAAAATAGGAAAAAAATTTAAAGGATAAAATAAATTAATCAATAACTAAAAATTGAGTCATTTAACCAATCTGCACATTTTGGCCTACCATCTAACAACAGTGCTTGTAACAAATGGTAGGAGTTATGCCAGTGAACCAAATTACTAAAAATTAAATTAAAAGAAGTTAAAAGGAGGGGGGCGTCGGTGGCCGCAACGGTTTAGGCGTTGACACGGCGCTTATCACTAAGGTAAAGGTCCCGAGTTCGAATCCAGCGACCCTGCATTCGTACCCGACATACTTACAAATGATTTTTTTTTCAAAAACACCTGCACCCCGAGGGTTGATATAACCTCTGCTATTGCGAACCCTCATTAAAAAAAAAGAAAAAAACTAAAAAGTTGTATAAGACAAAATAAATTAAAGAAAAAATAAAAATAATGAAGTGAGAAAAAAATTCATTAAATAAATTAAATGAAAATTAAAGATTACAATAATTGTCATATGATGCCACATATATCACAAAGAAAGTTCAAATTATGAATTTAAAATTTTTACAGTAATAAATTTTTGGAATCATAATGTGAACTTAATTTGTTAAAATTAATTTTGTGATTGTAAAGAAACCTAAAAAGGTTAATGAAAAATAAAAGTGCAGCTGAAAAATAGCATACAGTTTATTGGTGTTGAATCTTAAAAGGGTTTGAAAGTATTGTTCTCAAAAGAGAATTTTGAGTTATAGTTAATGGATTTAAATAACAATTATTGGTTCCACCCCACGAAAAATACCATAGGAAATTATAAACTCAACTAAAGCATAATATACTAATGTTAACAATTTTATATTTTTAATGTTTTCACGGAAGGGTGGAACGGTAAAAAGGGGTGTATTGTTATTGTTAATGCCATTACAGTTCGTGGTCCGATTGACCAATTAACATTTTTCATAAAAAAAGTCAGTGTCACGAGCGGGATTCGAACTCCCCAGCCAAAGGTCGTGAGTTCGAATCCCGCTCGTGCCATTAACTTGTTTTCATCTCAACTAAAAACCTTAATTAATTGTCATGTATTAATTGGTCAAGCGGACCAAAAAGTAATGAATTAGTTATTATTAATGGCGTACGGTAACTACTATAAAACTAGTAAAATTAATTTAATTTTAGTATAGTAATATACTAGATACTAGTAGAAGAACTAGTCGAATTTTTGTTAGATTAAGTACGAAATAATGTAATAAAATTATGATATTTTAAGTTTAAAAAAATCTTAAACTCAATTATTTATTGTACATTTCAAAAAACTATTATTCAATAATTTCAAATTATTTTGATAGATTCAGACCAAAAATCTTCTCTTATGTCGCTATTGGTTTATTAATTTCTAATTTTATCATTTTTCATTAATTTTCTTTATTTAATTCAAACTACTATTAGTTTGTCCTGGTTTCCCATTTCCCTATTGCTTCTCGGAAACAAACAAATATGAAATGGTAAAACTTGTGTCAAATTTCAGCCACAAAATGAAAGAAATTATTCGATTTATTTTATAGAGAGATGATAATACAACGATAAAAAAGTATGCCAGTACAACATTTTAATATTATCATTTCAAGTTAAGAATTTCACTTTTCAAATATTATATTTTTGTGATTTTCAATGAAACCGGTATTCCAGTTGAATGATGGGTCCGACAATTCAGTAACAAGTGGACAAAAAATCTTAGTTTTGGGTTAATTGTCCGGTGGAAAAGCGGGACACGATTCTCCACCCTCGTTACAGGGGTGGCGGTGGTAATGAAAGCGCCGTGAGATCAAACAGCATTGATCAGTAATTAAAATGCAAATGATTCATATGTCTCCTCTGCCTCCCCGACCCGATGAGAATTTAAATCAACCCTTTATCATTCAGGTCGGCTTTTTGAAAATGGCGCCGCTCATAAGAGAAGGCTGACTTAACAGCCAGGCTGCTCGTGAAGCCATCGAAATCCGGCTTTTGGCTTCTTAACACACCAAACAACCTTTCCGTTAATCCTTTTTTTCCACTATAATAAAAATATGATGTTCATTTAACATAACACTGGCAAGTTCAAAAGCAAGCGGTAAGAAATTTTCCTGAATAACTTTATTTTAGGAATAAGGTCGCAATATAGAACTGTTGTACTCTTGCGGCTTAAATCCACGATTTTACCAACAAAATCTTATTATTTCTCACATTTTTAAACTCCATGATTTAATCATATTCCTTACTTACATGTAGTATGTTTCCACTTTACCACTATATTCACTATTATTCGTGGTCCGCTTGACCAATTAATAACATTCAATTAATTAAGGTTTTAAGGGGATCGAAGTCACGATAGCTCAAGTGGTAGAGTAACGGCGTATCAAGCCGAAGGTCGTGGGTTCGAATCCCGCTCGTGACAATGACTTTTTTATCTCAACTTAAAACCTTAATTAATTTACCACTATAACTCACATGATTTTTACATCCAACTACCCCCTTAAGTGTTGGGATTGAGCTGTCAGAATAATAAGGAGCGCATTTTGCATAACGTTAGCGTGAACGGTAACGTTAAATTGATTGCAGTGTACACGCTCAGATTTAATGGGAGACGGTTAAGAACAAAAAAGTTTTTTGTTGGAAGTCCAATTTAAAAACATAATATTATATATGTACAACTATAATAAAATTGTTTATTTTATAGTTAACATTTTACAATTCGTACAAGTTTTCATGAATCCTGACTCCTAAGAATGTATGTATGTTTGGTGTTCCAACTTGAAAAAATTTAGCTTTATTTATTTACGTATAAACAGGAATGACATCTAGAAATACAGCAACCTTATACATCCATCCATCATTAAACCACAGCAATTGTTTAAAACAGACCCTTTGGCTGATCCAAATACAGTTTAAATGTTAAAATTGTAAGTGACAAGTATAGAATGTGGTTATGATGAGTATGTATATAGTTAACTAACTCCACTGTAATATATTAATTTTTCATGAAATTGCTAAGTTTAGCTAAGAGTTTTTTTAAAGAAAATTTTTGTCCTAAATTTCATTTAAACTGAAATTGCCTGGTAATTAATTAATGTTTACATTGTACGTTAGAGCTTCTATAACTATCAAGTCCTCAGCATTTGCCAAACTATCGTCAGCATTCAAGAGAATTCATAACATCCGTGAACAGTGTCTTTGTTTACAAACTTGCAAGATACGATTATAACCTGAACTACGACAAACTTAGCAAATTCAGTTATGCAAAAGTCTTCAAATAGAGTTAACGTTATGCAAAATCTCTCTAATAAATACTCTTATTGTTTTATAAAATGAAAAATCACTTCTATAAGAGGTTAGGAATTTTTCCCTTATTAGCACATTTAAACGTGATCATGAAATTGAAACCATATTTTAATAATTACGAAAAATGTTTAGAAACTTAAAAAAAGTAAACTGAGGGAGAGGAGATGTTTAAAACATAAAATAATAAATTCAGGGTTACAAGATACTTGACAATTTATGTTAAGTGACTAATATTCACTATAATCAATCAAATTGATGTTCATTTTTTCTAAAACTTTACAAAATGGCTAAATTAATCTATGAATTTCATAATAAACTATTGTTTGAGCAATGAAAATATATGTTTTTTAATATGTGGAAATAAACAATCCGTTTGAATTATAGCGGCGTCACCGCCCCTCTTTTGTAGTAGCTCCATTACGAATACACATCGGAGCTCATTGCTCAATTAAACAAGTCCATTAATATTAATTACCTATCCGGAATTAATTATTATTAGATCCCACAACACCGATAATTGCAAAATGTTTAACCGGCGGTCCGCACGGGCTTTAGACACAGTTTACACCCGTTATAAGGACTCGGAATATTAATTTGCCCTTTTTTCCACCACTCAAACACAAACACGCCCTTTCATGAAACTATGTTCAATTTAAGCCATTTTCTAATATTAAATTACGCAATTCAGTAATAATTTTACTTAGAAATTTCAGCCGTTCAACTTTATTATTCATTCAAACAATCGCGGCATTTATTTATTAGCCCTTTTGTTTTCCGGTTTAGGCGATTGTAATTTTAAATTTACTTATGTACTTAACTTTATTTTTATTTATATGGAAAAAAGATGTGGTGCTTTTACTTAACTTTCAAAAAAGTATGTCATATATATTTAGATGAATGTATTATTTGAAAAATATCTAAAAACTTTTAAAAATTTTGCAACCTTTTGTTAGCTCTTATTATCCCTCTTCAACCCTCCCTGCCTTTCACTCCATCCTTATCTATAAAGTTTTATCATGAATCAACCAGTTACGAATAAATAAAATTCGAACCATTTAAGTTTAAATAGAGTAAACTTTAATTATTTATATGGAATTTTTCTTTCACTATCGTCAAGATATCCCGAGAAAATATAACATTATATTAATCCATATTTGTTTAGTGGTCATAATTCACCATATAAATTATTCCATTTAATTATTCTTTTTATCTCAGATTTTTGGTTGAAATGGAAAATTAGTGTCATGAGGGGGATTCGAACCCACGACCTTCGGCCCAATAAGCCGCTTAACCTCTTACCATGTCACGATAGCTGGGAGTTGCGGCGTATTGAGCCAAAGGCCGTGGGTTCGAATCCCGCTCGTGACACTAATTTTCCATTTCAACCACAAATCTGTGATAAAAAGAATAATTAAATGTAATATTACATTATGCAATATACGGTAAATATTTATATGAGGGTTTATGATGATGATGGTTTATGAATGATTTATATAATTAATTATTACATCCTGATAAGTATACAATATGGTTTATCTGTTTGTACATAGATTATATCTTTTGTCTATTAAAACTGTACTTATCCTCATTGACGAATATTTTAGAAAACAAAAAACAAGTTCTTTTGTGAAATTTATGAGAGATTTCAGCGGTGCTTACATATGTATATTATTACTAATATGCGATACTTATGTTTTAAACATTTTAAAATATTTCGGTTTTTCTACTTGTAAACTACTGTTCTGACAGGTATAGGAAAAACTGTTGACATTTTCGTAAAATTAAATTTGTAATTAATCTCTCTCTCTCTCTCTCTCTCTCTCTCTCTCCCTCTCCCTCTCTCTCCCTCTTTCTCTTTCAAATTCCCACTTTCTTTCTCTCTTTCCACCAACAATTCCCAAGTTCTCTCACTCTATCCCTAATCATGAATATCTTTCGGTTTTCCTCTGTTTCTTTCTCTCTTTATCTAATCAATCTCTCTCTCTCTCTCTCTCTCTCTCTCTCTCTTTCTCTCTCTCTCTCACTCTCTTATTTATAAGTTTATCAAACTTTGCTAGCTGTTTAGCTTCCGCCTTCTTCTTTATCTATCTAGCAATATTCAATGTATCAATTTATTTAATTAGCTGTCAACTATTGACTTTACATTCATTTACTAAACAAACAATTAATTTAATTTTATTGTAAGATTTCACAGTGAACAAAAATGTTTATGGAATCAACAATTTATTAATGTTCATATGAGGATTTTACTAGCATTTATATAGAAAACAGTTTCTTCAGGCAATCAAAAACACCTAACAAGCAGAAATCCAGCAACATTATGGAGAAATATTAATATTCATTATAAATCTTACAACTTACATCTGTTTATCAAGCCTACCGCATCTGAATGTTGCAATTATCAAATAACATTACAAGCGCAAGGTTAATTGCAAGCAAGTAAAGCCCATTTCCTTGCTCGGCCTTTTCCCCCGGATGAATTAAAGCAAAAAGAAATATTAACTTCCCAATAATTGGCGGCCCGTTCATGCCGCTGGTCGTTTAATTAATATAATTAGGATCACTTGTTTTTATAATTCTCATAGCCCGAAGGGGGCCCCATAACGCTGTTTAAAGATCACCTACTTTCCATGGCGAGGTTGCGGAAACAAACCATTAACATTCGGATGAGAAGCGTGAGAGCGTGAACAGAAATGTCTCACTCGCGCGAAAACATTAAAAATTATTAATTAAATCTTTGGTAATGAAAATCGAACACGACGCCACACCTCAGGACATTCGACATGGGAAAAACAACGTTGTTTTTCGTTATATTTTGAAGCGCATCGGCGTCCTAATACAAGCCGCTATCAAGTCTAAATTGAAACCCATTCGCTTAGAAATGTTGGATTTTTAATGCAGTTCTTACATCATTAACCTTAATAAAGGCGATTCCCATCGTATTGCTGTTTAGATTTTATCCCACGTCATTTTGAACGTTAACTAAACGAATGGCACCTAAATAACACTCAAATTGGACTTCACTAGTTTCCCATTTCCGTTTTGAATAAGATATTATGTCAATTACAAGAATTATTAAAAACAGATAAAATTAAGAATAGGTATTAAGATTAATTAACTATGTATATCAATTATATTTAATAGTTGTTCGATTTCATCCGTTTAGTTATAATTTTTAGGACAATTTTTAAATTTATTTTAAAAGTAAAAGATCAAAAATTTTCAAGTCTCAAAAAGATAGATGATTATTATAGAAATACCAAAACAAGCAGATTTATTTAATTAAGAAGATAAGTAATATCAAAGATCTGGAAAAAAATCTTAGGAGTTAATAAGAATATTCCACTCCCGATGTTTATGCAAATGATTATGGATATAATGTGTAACTTGATCTCTTTTGTTGTTATGACATCGTGTGCGTGAGAGATTTCGTTGTAACTTTTATAAAATGAATTTATTATTATTTACACACACACAACACACAAACAACAAACACACACACACACACACATTACTATCTCTTTCTCTTCCGTTAATTGTGTGAGAGGTCGTTGACGACCAAAATTTGCAAGATGTTTTAAATATTTTTATTATATTAAATTTTTTTTTAAATACTTAATTATTTATGTATTCAAATGTTGTATTCAAATATAAATTATACGTTCTTCTCGTGTAGAAATGTGTAGAGATTAGTGACCGTTAATCTATAGTATGATATCTCACGATATCTGAATAACTATAAATTATACTTTATGTTAATACTTCATTTATTTTATTAATGTCAATGATTAATATTTCAATATTTTTCATGTCTTAAACGTTTCGTTGTTTGTTCTTTTGTTGCAATGTAACGTAATTATTTGTTACAAATAATTTTGTACTTATTATAATAAAATTGGCGATTGCCCATATATATGGGAAAAATGAAACTTCATCGTTGTTCATTCATTTTCTCTCTCACTCACTCTTTCTCACACTCTCTCACTCCCTCTCTCTCTCTCTCTCTCTCTCTCTCTATCTCTCTATCTCTCTCTCTCTCTCTATCTATCTATCTTTCTATCTATCTATCTTTCTATCTATTTATCTTTCTATCTATTTCTCTCCCCTCTCTCTCTAACGTGATATCCAAACAACACAAAATGCATATGTTAGATACAAATCAAGACTAAAACATGATAGTATTATATATTATAAATTTTAAAGTATTAATCTGTTTAGATCCGATAAATTATAAAAAAGACCTTCTTATCAACAATGTTTAAAATTGTACACATTAAGCAACTGAACTATCTATTTGTTAAAATAATAGACAAATTAAAACATTAAACTTTGGACAAAACAATATATCGGAAATTCAAATTCACAGAACTCAAAAATCTACTCCAACTCTTTCATAATTACCAGCATAAAAATATTTAATAATATTCCATGTATTATTTCCTCTGAGAGCAGTTTTCGTACTTTCAAAAGGAAACTAAAACATCTGATAGAAGAAAATAATTAACAATGAAATCGTGGAAACAGAAATAAATTAATATTACGTACATATGTATTTTTGTATTCTCTAAATAACTGTAATAGTAACGAAAATTAAAAATTAATTGGTTAATTCATTTAACGTCATGACTATCAAAAACTCTTGCTAAAGTTTTTATAATTTATCTTTTCTTTTTTCTTTGATTGTTATTAATTGTTTTACATAAATAAATATTATCTTATTATAATTATATTATAAAACAAAATTTTTTGTAACGTGAAATGTGTAAAACTTTTTTTTCTTGTATTCTACTCGTAAAATAAATTGCAAAGATCACCAGAATCTGCATAAATTGTATGTGTAATGTATAACGTACAACATAAACTCACGTTAAGTGGAGGAAAGGTCCATGAAACCTAACTTTGCGTGGTTCAATAAAACGTTTTATCAAATCAGTCAATCAATCTCTATCTTCTATATTTTTCTTTCTTTCTTTCTCTCTTTCTTCAATATTCTCTCTCTCTCTCTCATTCTCTTTCTCTCTCTCTCTCTGTCTCTCTCTCTCTCTCCCTCTCTCTCTCTCTCTCTCTTCTTGGTATATAAGGAAATTAACAATTCATTATGGTTGATATTAACTCATAATCTGATTCGTACCATGTGCTTTTTTTATTTGTGTGAATATTGTTGTGTGTGAATAATGGTGGGGTTGAAAGATTGACATCTATTTACCTGGACAAGGCCTCAATGGGCGGTGGCGGTTTGATGAGATGGTGCTGCAGTCCCGGATTGAGTATGGCCGTGTGACCGGAGCCCGGGTGGTTCAGTTGCATGAACTGCATGTGGTTGAGGTGGGTCGGAGGGTGGTTGTAGCCGTTGGCGAGCAGGGGCGACTTCTCCAGCCTCGGACCTTCTGGAACAGAAACGGGTTTGCTTCGTGTCACTCAGAACTCAGTTAATTGCTCCCCGATAGGGATCTGGCTAACAAATTATACGCTCAACTATGCTACAGTTGGTCTGTCCGAAAGAGAAGAACGTCAAGTGTAACTGAGCTTACATGTTAATTATAGTAATCGGGATGAAGCGCATATGTGTCTGTGTGGTCAGTTGAAAATTTAACCTTTTCACTCTCGTTTATTATACTGGACCTATATTCTCAGACCTGAATATAATCAGGGCTTCCCTTCTTCTTAACTACTTAGATGTGTCACAGTCGTAAAAACAAATTTTTTAAAACAATACATACTCAAAAAAATTAAAGTAGTACTATTTGGATTGTTAATCTTTGAAACATGGGATTTTTGAAAATCAGTTACAATACTTTTTCTGTACAGTGACTACAAATTTATATGAAGAGAAATATCGAACTAACGAAATCTTCTACTCGTTCTAGGCCGTTTCGCCAGTCTTAAAAATTGAAATATTATATACGAATATTAACCATAAATATAAATTGTCTTGTTTGTTCTCATGGAACATATTCATAATTATTTGAATTGTTAATAAATGTCATTAATATTTTATAACAGTTTATTTTAAAAAAGAGCCAGTGTGGTACTTATTCGGACTACAAAAAAACCTAAAACGACTGACGAACACTTTTTTAACCATTGCGTTAACTCACCTGAGGAAGGATTAAAATAAATCCGAAACGTGTGGATAAAAACTGGTTGTGGTTTTTTTTGAGATGACCTATTATCCCACCTTCAAGAAGGAAAAATCATAAGATTATTTAAATTGTTAATAATTGGACCGTGAATTTTCTGAAAATCAGTAGCACACAGTGATTACACATTTATAAAAAAAAAGAAATGTCGAACTAACGAAATCTTCTACTCGTTTTAGGTCTTTTCTCCATTTTTTAAAATAGAAATATTATAAATAAATATTAAATATATCTATAAATCGGCTTTTTTGTTCTCATGGATGGAAATTATAATTATTTAAATTGTTAATAATTGAACCATGAATTTTCTGAAAATCCGTAGCACACAGTGATTATAAATTTATTTTAAAAAAATAAATATCGAACCAACAAAATCTTCTACTCGTTTTAGGCCGTTTCTCCATTTTTAAAAATAGAAATATTATATACAAATATTAAACATAAGTATAAATTGTCTTATTTGTTCTCATGGATCGTAATTACAATTATTTGAATTGTTAATAATTGGACCATGAATTTTTTGCAAATCAGTAGAACACAGTGATTACAAATTTATAAAAAAAGGAAATATCGAACTAACGAAATCATCTACTCGTTTCAGGCCTTTTCGCCATTTTTAAAAATAAAACTATTATAAAGAAATATTAAATATAACTATAAATTGGTTTGTTTGTTCTCATGGATCGTATTTATAATTATTTAAATGGTTAATAATTGGACTATGAATTTTCTGAAAATTAGTAGCAATACTTTTTCTACGCAGTGATTTAAATTTATTAAAGAAATAAATATGGAACTAACGAAATCTTCTACTTGTTCTAGGCCATTTCGCCATTTTTAAAAATGGAAATATTATATACAAATATTAAACATAAGTCTCAATTAATTAAGGTTTTTAGTTGAGATTAAACGCGAGCGGGATTCGAACCCACGATCTTCGGCTAGGTACGCCGCTGCTCTATCACTTGAGCTCGATCCACTCGGACCCTAACTTTCCATCTCAACCCCACCTTTTGAAAAATGGTAAAAAGGAGGAAAATTCAATCGAGTGGATAACACGAAGATCGTGGGTTCGAATCCCGCTCGCGTTTAATCTCATCTAAAAACCTTAATTAATTGAGAAATATTAATTGGTCAAGCGGACCACGAAAACTATTGGAATTAAACATATGTATAAATTGTCTTATTTGTTCTCTTGGATTGTATTTCATAATAAATAAATTCAATTTATTAACACAAATTAACAGTATGACTCTAAACAACCGACTTAGAAATAGTGACTAAAAATCGAGAAATTTGTTAATTTACTGAGTACAGTTAATTTATATAATCATTTGAACTGTAAGTCATACCATGTGATTTCTAGGACAATTCTGCTACTAACGAGATATTTTAAATATATTTTTCTTTTTTATTCTTTAAAGCAATTTGATGATTGTCATAACTGTTTTTTACAAGTTGAATTACCAACTTTTTAAATTATAATTATTTTTATGACAAGTATGGGCCATGGGAATTTATATAATAATTATACAGGATGACAGAAAAGTACTATTAATACATATTAATTGGTAAAATAGTGATGCTGGTCAATTGATTTTTTCTCATCAAACGTAAAATATACTTGTAAATTTTTTCCTCCAACATCTTTGATTTTTATTAAATTTCAATAAAAAGATGGAAATTGAACGTAAAAAATTGGCAATGTAGTCGAAATCATAAAAAAACCAAACAATTTTCCAGTTTGAATAATCTGAATGAATACAGATATAATAAATCAGAGGAACTGGTCAATCTGCCAATTCATCTTTACCGACGTGCAAAAGGCGAATTAAATATTAAACCCAGTCTTCAATTCTAATATAATAGCAGGGTCTTGGCAGTTTTTTCGTCAAAATCGTCCCCACAGATTGGGCATTTGTTAGGAATTAGCATAAGAGAAGTAGCGTGAGAGAATGATAATGCAACCAGCCGGAGGCGACAAAATTATAAGAATGAAACCATTAAATATAACCACGACTTATCAACAGATCAGGATGTTTCTCACTTTATTCAATAAACCTATATTAGAAGTAAAAACATTGAAGATAATTCTTCTAACAACTAATACAGAAGAATGAACCAATCCAAAAAATAAAAAGAGAGTGTAATTGCAGTCAAAACTAAACATTCAAATAAACCGTACTTTATATGAAAAGATTTTGCAAGTCTGAACACTTAAAAAACATAAATATGCCGAGATTAACGTTTTTATCATAATTTTTCATAAAAAGAATTTGATTGTTTTTTTAGATCTTTGTCCTGAAAGTAATGTGCTTTCGGTAACGATTAATTTATCAAATGACCATTGACAGCAGATGAAGATTCGGTATAGAACATGAGCAAAGCCGATAAACCTTCATCGACCACTTCTAACGGTGCACTTCACCCCAAGTTCTTGCAATAGATTTGGTAGGATTAAAGAGAAATCCTTGAAGTTGGGATGTTCGAATCTCTTCCAGAGGACGAAAGGTCGGTCGCATAAATTACCTTTCCCAACTTAGGGGATAAGTCCGCAGGGTAGTCCTAAACGAAAATTAGAAAGGGTAGTTGGTGATACAGAAAAAATTACTATCTGGGAAGTACTACCTCCTATTATTATTATTATTATTATTATTATTATATTATTGAATTCATTTAAATACAAAAGAAAAACATTGGCCAAGGGGCATGTAACAACTGAATTTCTGAAATTGATTCAACCTTTTAATGCAACTATTAGCTAACCATTTTAACTAACAATTCCTAAATAGATAGATATAACAAAAATAGTCACAAATAGTTAAAAGATCAGATATTCAGAGTACTAACTTTGGAAACTATAACTTATTGAACGATATACAATTATCATTGATTATTATAGATAATTGTGTTGAAATTAGTCTTAATGATATTTTATATGTATACAACGGTAGGTTTGCTGGCCAATTAGCTTCAAATACTTATAGTTTTTATATATGCAATATATATATATATACATATACAGGGTGTCCTTTTTAGATTGCCTTGCTGAATTTCTCTTGAACCAATGCGTTATCAAAAAAATACATGTTAAATATTTTTTTAGTCTAGTTTCAAATTTTTACCTTTTTGGCGTACCTTAGGCCCAGCTCAACTTCAAAATTTTAAATACGACGTTCTGACACAATTGTATTATCATGGTCACGAAATAGGTCCGGAGTATATCTCTAATTTTATTTTTTGAAAAACCTAAAACCCTTCCAACATTTCGGGGGGAGAGAGGAATTCGGGTTTTCGCGAAGATATAATAAAATATTCAGTTCCTCTTCGAAATTACGCTGCTGATTTCTTGGCGATGGAACAGCCATTGATCCCTATCTCCTCGTATTGCGAGTAACACGCATAAACGTTTTGTGGTGCACTCAGGAGCGATCAGGAAATGTCTGGGAGTACAACGCGACTGAACGACGCAGCCACCACTATGAATAAAGCAGTCAATTAAGCTAAATGGCCAAATGGCTAGAAGGCTGCAGGCCAAGTTGGCATCTATATTTTCTTCATCGAGGGCATTGATGGTGTTCACCCCGAACTCTACAAAATCATTAGGGTACTTACTCAACTCGCTGTTGATCGGAAAATGTGCTCATCGGTTAATTTTGAATGTAACGAAAAGGTAGGGGGCGCCGGTGGCCGCAATGGCTTAGGCTATGCTCATCACTGTAAGGTAAAGGTCCCGGGTTCGAATCCAGCGGCCCTGCATTACTTACAAATGGAATTTTTTTCAAAAAAGGTACTGTATGAGTATTTACATGGCCTCTGCATTTGTGAACCCTCGTAAAAAGTAAAAAACCACTTTCAAAACGCGAATTTGATAAACCATGACATAATGTAAATAATAAACGCGATTAATGTTTACTTTAGTGAAGTTGCAAATTATTGTAATTAACGACCAAACACTAAATGCGTTTTTTCAAACTTTTGTCCATAATTTGTCATTTTTGAACAATTTAAAATCCGATTGCACCATTATATTCAGCGTAAAAAATTCCTTTAAAAATATGTGTCAGGACATACAGGGTCGTATTTGAAATGTTGAAGTTGTACTGCCTGAGTCCTGAGGCTCCCGGTGTAATTTTTCTCCAAAAAATTTTTTTTTTGTATAGCGTTATTCGTTCAAGAGAAACTCAGCCGTACCATCTTAAAAGGACACCCTGTATATGTATGTAAGTATATGTTATGTATTACAT